TGTGTGTGTGTGTGCGTGCGTGCGCCTGCGTGTGTGTGTGTGTGTTTAGACTCAGAACGTTATGCTTGTATTGACGCAGTATTTATGCCGAGAATACATTTCCAATATTCTTTTAATAACATATATTTAGAATTAGACTATAACCTTAGTTTGGCAAAATTGTTTAAAAGCCAATCATTACTGCACCAATACCTCCAAACGTTACCCAAATAGCAATGTAAAAAATATGTTTATTTCTGTTTGTTAACTTTAATTAATTGAAAATAAATGCAGTTGCTATTGTTTTAACTGGAATTTTAGTGTGTGTGTGTGTGTGTGCGTGTGAGTATATATGAGAGAGAGATTTGGATATTAAATATAACATTAACATATTTTCAGTCATATTTCTACGATGCCTGTAGCGTGGCGGTCTATAGTAATGGCCTACTAGTCCTAATACTAACCTTAAATGCTGAGCGCCAAGCAAGGCAGCTGCTAGTCCCATTTGTTTAAGTCTCTGGTATGACATTTCCTGGGTTTGAACCAGTAATATCCTGCATCTGAGGCGGACACTCTAGCCGCTTAGACCACCGGAGTGGTGGAGATTTAGACCTTATTGTTAGCATTACAACCAGTATACTCCAACACTTTTAAGAAGAAACAACGAAATTATTCATATTGATGAAGTTTGGACTTTACTAAAACTAATTTAGAATCAGCTGCATGAAATGTGCATGTCAATGCATTCCCAATGACATGAAATCAATTTATATCCTTATCACACTAAGGATAACTAATCATGCACAACATTGATTGTTTTGTAATTTTCAGCAAGATTATTTTCTTACGTACATTTCATATGCCAAGAGAGAAAACAACTTGCACAGTTTTGGAAGCTCATCCACGCCTGTAGTTGGTTCCTTAATAGCTTGGCTTTTAGGTGTCAAATATACAAATAAAAATAATAAAATAACTTAGACAAATATTATTGTATTTTTGCATTATATATTAAAGTTAAGGATTTCATCAATATAATTTTCTATCCATACTTTCATTAAAACCCATAGAAAGCATTTAAAACACAACTTTTCTACTTTGATGGTCATATTGAAATCAAGAAAACAAATAGAAGATACGAACTGTAACGATAGCGAAAAAACAAACATGTAATGTTGAATCTTTGAATTATTCTTCCCATTTTCTCTTCTTTCCCTCTTAAGAATGAAGAAAGGCTAAGTATAAGTTCTTTGGAAGAGAAAGGTGTTTGGCTGTTATGTGTATCAAGTGCTTAAATTTGCAAAACTGCGCTTGCTACCTTCAAACAATATATTACATGGATACATTTACAATCGCATAAAAGAATTTCGACATTGGTGCAGCAATAGGTCTCAGACAGGACGGGTGTACGTTACAAGAGCTGATCTATAGCAGTCTGTCTGTTTCCAACTAAAACGTAAATGTTCGGAACTTTTCTCTATAGCTACTTTTATATGATTTGTCTGTTCATATCTGTGAAGGTTGTTTGCCTTTTGATTGTAAAACGACGTGAAAACATATAATAGTATCTGCAGAATTTCCATTTTTCCATTCTATAACGCTCTAGAACATGTATCCTTTCAAGGCAATCTTTCATCATCTCAGAACAAACAAATCTGCTGAAATAATGAAATTAGCCCTTATAACTGAAAATGGTCCACTATTTAATATGTTTACTACCTTGAAGACTTCACTTTCAAACATTTGTGGTTTTGGCATAATGTAAATTGACTATCAGGTGACTGTGTTGATGCAAAAATCCCCATAGAGGGCCCCTCTATGACATACATCTGAGCTACCGCCTCCGCACGCGCTGTTGCAGCGGCGCAAGTAATCAATAATAATACGAAAGCATTCAGTCTGCAAGCATCTGATAGGGCAAATGACTCCGGCTATTATATTCAGGTCTCTATCATCTTGGTATGTTGTCCTTGGACATAGAACTGTACATCTTTCATGAAAATAATTCAGATAGAATTTGCATATTAGAAATAGTGCAAGTGTTTCCCCGATTCTTTTACAAATTAAAGAAACATTTCACTTTTTGATTCCAAAATATTAAACGATTCACAAATGAATATAACTAGCTCAAAATTTAATTGAAACGCTGCCATCTAAATAACTTCTTGTTGTTGTGAAGACGTCATGGACCTTGTTAAAGAAGTCACATGTTTGTGTTAATTCGGGAATTGAGGCAGGGAAATGATGGAATTCCAGTATAAAAAAAGGGCGGGGGAGGAACCTTCATAAAGCATGATACCAGGCATGCGGTCAGTTTCAGACATTTGTATTGTACTGTTGTGAACCAAAGCGCTTGTCGTTGTTATTGGCATATTTTGTTGCGATGAGTCATTATTAAAGGTTACTATGTTTAAACCAGCTGTCTTGAAATATTAGTATGTAATAATATTGGACAGAGACCTTTGATAACAGGTATCATAACAGAAATAAGTACTTCTCCGAAGAAGAAAGCTCCTTGCTAAATTCACGATTATCGTGTTTTGTGACAGTGAATGAACAGTCTATGCTTAAACACATATTTCAAAGTTTTGGATCAAAGGCAACCTTGTTTTGGAAAATGGTGCTGAAATGATTATGTACTATTAGAACTCACGTAAAAGAAGTTTTGACACAAGGAAATACGTTAATTACATATTTTTGTGTAATGCATTAGTAATGTTTCTAATTTTGTTTTACTATTTCAGATGTTCACAGATACTGTATAGCAACTGATGCGTTTATCATCGCAGCGAAAAAAATTCAATTTCTATAATCACGAATACATTCTTTGTAATACATTATTCAACGATTCATTAGATGGAGAGCGAGGTGACTGAGAACGAACTTTTGAGGATAAAATCCAATTATTTTAATGAAATTAGGTTATTCTTATAAAACGATCGAAGCTTTTATGGCGAAGAAACCGATCTCTTCGGTGCAATTGATGATGCTGAAACACCCCGATCGTCTTAATCAGCTTGCTTGTCTGTCGTTTCAATTGGTATCTATTATAAGCTGTATCAGTAGCCATTTCTGGGCAATACTGTGTTGGTATAGCATTTATATTTTAACTATCCTGTTCCATTTTAATCGTAATATTTGGATGTGAACAGAATTTGTCGACTTTAAAGTCCTAAGCCATCTTTGCTAGACAAGAAAAGCTTGTTATATATTGTTTCAGTGTATGTCGTGGTGTTCCATCTGACTAGATGTTAATTGTATTTAATGGGGGGGGAGGGCACTGACAGAACTCAAGAATAAAGTAAACTCTTCACAAATGCCAAAATGATCATGTTAAGCAGCAAATATATCCGATGAACATCGGACCGTCTGGTATAAGACCTGACGAATGCCCCGCCTATTAATAATATAACTCGACAAATTTCTTTGTCCGTTGCTCTTGGATATAAGGGCACTCTCTATAATAACTAGCCAACTTTATTTCTTTTAAGATCGATGTACCCAGCATCTAGCACTTCCAAGTGGCGTTTATTACCTACTGTTTACGTAAGAATTACATTCGACAGATATTTACTGCTGGTCAGAGAATGACCCAGATACAAATAAAGGTTCTCCAATCAATCTCAAAAGTCGGCTTATTAAAGATTGTTTTCTATGCATGTCGCCGATTTCAAGTTGCCTAGTTGATAATTGCTCACCAAGTGCGTCCATTCGTGTTGCTGTAGTGGAAAAGACTAGTCTCGTAGAGCAGGAAGCCAAAATCCGTAACCTGACAAACTTTTCAGTTCAATGTCCAACTGAATATACAAAAACTTAACGAGATAAAATATTTTTATTTTTTAATGCGATAATTTTGAGTTGTAACTGAGTATGACAGAAATGAGGTGGGTGATAACATAATGGATAGGAGAAACATTGCTTACTAGAACAAATACATTTGTATTAATCTATCGTAATGAAATTTTTGTTTCATCCATTCAAGAAACTTATTTAATATATAGTAGGAAACTAGTGCCAGTCCATTGATCGCATTGACAATAAATGTGTTAAAACTAATATCCTCTCTTTGGTGAATAAAACCGTACTACAGTGATTTACACGCTGTATTGTTTACAACTATTGTTCTCCCCCCCTCTCTCTTAAAATATATAGAAATATATGAATTTTATGAATACTCATTACAAAAGTAATGTTTTTACCCAAATTATTAATAATATAAATTAATATTTTTCCCCCAAATGATGCATAAACAAAACTTTCGTCGCGGAAATGATAAATAAATACAAACATTGACTTTTTCGGGCTATTCTGGAAAGATTACTACAGAAAGACAAAACATTCATGCGCAGAACGTTTTAAATCAAAACGAAAATATGTGTCAGAAGTAATCAACGAAACCTAATGAACATTGTTGCAAAACAAATCTAATTCATATTATTCACTGTTATGAATACTGCGTTCAAATGCATAATTTAGGATAAATCTTGCAATATGCGCGTTACGAGCATTATTGGTTACACATTTATAATCCACTAATATAGGTTTCACAATGGAAAAGAAAACTACAGGCAATTTTAACCGTGAATTTGCTATTTTAAAAGAGGTCATGGATATAAATAAGTCAAGCACATATTTGTCGAAAATTATTCTTACATTACCTACCCTTTTGTAAAGCCCTGCTGGCATTCAATTTTAATGGATGGTCTTTTTAAGTGGCGATTCATTCATTTGTGTAACGCATGTCACATATTCTTCTCTATGCTGTTTTATGAGTGTGTGTGTGCATGTGTGTATGCGATTTTGATTTTAAACGTACCTTTATCAATTTTCAGTCATATCCCTACGGTAATGAGTGTGGCAGTTTATAGTGATGTATAGTACGCGGGCATCATATTGCAGACATGTAGCATGACGTCCCACCCGGTCACATTATTCTGACGCTAGGTCGACCAATACTAACACTAACCTCTTAGTGCTGAGCGCCTAGCGAGGCAGCTGTAATTCCATTTTATAAGTCTTTGGTATGAGTCGGCTAGGGTTCGAACCCGCGACCTTCCGCATCCGAGGCAGACGCTCCTTACCACTAGACCACCGAAGAGGTCCAGCCGTTTTATGTGTTTGTCAAAAATATACAAACCAAGAAACGGCACGAATATCTAAAGATTTTATTGATGCTTTATGTTTTAAAATACTTTTTATAACAACACTGGGTGAATTTTAATGGTTGTGTAAGACCCGTGATTGGATAAATTCACTTTCCTTTCATTAAATGTTCATTACCTATCAATGCAGTTTTTGCCAATTTCTTTCCATGAAGATTGGTTGTATCTAATCATAGCTCAAAAGCAATGTTTGGGATTTCCGATACAAGGTAGACTGACATCTTATGGTCTCGAAAACTGTGTGTGCAAAATATACATGTAACAATTTTAATAGGCAGCGGTATTCGGTTGGCCAATTTGTACTTAAGGTAAGAAAATCGCTGCATACCCTAGCTACATTGACACGAAAAAATAATTGAGTTCTGTTCCGGTATGTCAGTGTGTCATTGCAGCTATTCAAGAATTTTCTTATATGGATTTTGGTTACAATTTATAAATAAAAAAAACAATAGCTGAAATAGTTTCACATACTCTACTCAGCACCTGGATATAGAGCAAAACCCGATCCTCTATAGCTTGCATTACCATTTGCACGAGTAAACACAAGACTGAATTACCATATCTCATGTCTCTGTACGTTTGACTAACAGAACACCACATATGAAATAACTACACATTCTATGTTCTCATACATTGACAAACAGTGAATTATGATACGCAGTACTCTATGCAGTGTCTGTTTCCCACATTGTTGCATTATCCACGTTTGTCGCCTCAGCATGTCTAAATTTGTTTCTTTTCTCTTGGAAAAGCTAGATGATGATCCAGTTGAGGGTGGGGGTGGGAGTGGGAGTGGCGAAGGTTCTTCCCTTCCCTATCTCCCCAAACTAAACAACAAATGAGCTGGTAACCACGGAAAAGTTTTATTGAGTAAGCTTCCTCAGTCATAATTATGTCCTAGCAACGACACAGGGTGTTCCGTCCAACAGATCACTACCTGGTTGCCTATTTTCCTCCGTACACATATATTTCTGAATCAGCCCTGAAAGTTGAGACGGACCACGGCATATAAACAAGTTCACTGATGGGATAAAGACACCCCGAAGACTAATATTAAAGGAAAAATGAGTGAATACAGTATTTGGAAATCGAGCCTTTGACACGTGGATGGATATTCTGTTTTATATTTGTAAGAACTTTTGAACAATTTTGAATCCTAATGTATTAGACTGCATTATATATATATATATATATATATATATATATATATATATATATATATATATATATATATATATATATATATATATATATATATATATATATATGCATGTATGTGTGGGTGTGCCTAAGTTATGTCCATGATTGTAGATTGTACTTGTACTAGATTTTACCCCCCAAAAAAATAAACATGTTAAGGTGGCTAAATTTAGTCCATAATTCTAAGTTCTAAACAAAATTTTTACCTATCATGTGTTTGAAGCCTGACTTATTTATATTTAGGTTTGGTTTATCTGTTGGAATGTTTCACATTCTATTACGTTTTAGGGCAAATTAAAATCATTAATTCCTGTTTTCTATCACTCTGTGGAATCCATGATCAGAGCTTGCAGTTGTGTTTCGATATAATTCGAGATGAATTATTTACCCCACTTTTTAATTGGAATTATTTCGTGCTCATTGATTTTGGATGAACACATAATTTGGAATTATGGAGAACTCATTCAAAGACATCCTGGCTTGCACAATTGTGTCAGTCAAGACATTTGGAATTCATTTGAAACATTCACTACTTTTATGATTCATTGCGATTTAGTTCACAATTCTGAAGTGTTTATTAAATTTTCACTTTTTAACGTAGATTTATATTAGCAAAGGTGCCAACATCAAATGGTCAATTTTATAGTGTTTCACACGAGAGATACTAAATACCAAACCAGTCATTCTACCTGTTTTTGCAGACACAAGGTGTATATACCTGTTTTGTTCGTTTCTGCGAAACTGGAATTTAAATGTCAGGTACCAAAAGAGAGCAACATAACGAAAACAAATTTCCTTGACCTTTTGATGTCAACAATTTATAGGTCCAGTATGTATGTATGTATGCATGTATGCATGCATGCATGCATGCATGCATGCATGCATGCATGCATGCATGCATGCATGTATGTATGTATGTATGTATGTATGTATGTATGTATGTATGTATGTATGTATGTATGTATGTATGTATGTATGTATGTATGTTGCATATCAATGGAATTATTGACAATTGTATAAGTATATATGCACACACATTACAAATGGAGTTTTAAAAATCTACATCTTCCATACCCCTGTGGACGCCCCTATGCCATTTCCGTGATTATTAGAAAGGCGTCGCATGATGTCACAGGAGGAAGATTACAAATGCTGGACAAAACATCAGGGAAAATTTTAAAATCGAAACTACATCCTTGAGGATCGAAATGTAAATAAGGCATATCATTTATAACAGCAACAGGTTCTAACTGAAAATAAAATTTTAAATTTTACCGCTGTAAAGGACGGATAATTTTGAGTGGGGATTCTTTCATGTAAATTCCATGATAGTTACTTCATTCTGAACACAAATAAAAATATGGTATAATTCATAAGCCCATGATCTGAGTGGATGTACTAAATCAAACAGCGCTTGTTCTAATAAGCCTTATAGCACGGTATTTAAAGTTATACATCAGGTGCAAAGTCAGTAAGGTGAAGGAAAGGAATAGTTATGAGTCAGTTGTTGAATCATCACATGGAGCCTGTACAGCGGTAAGATAATTATTGCAGCTGTAGCTAATGAAATAGTGCTGATAGACTTTGTCGGCTTTCAGATCGATTTGAGACAATTAACAAGTCGCTCTGTCCCGCCATTATCTTGATTACGCTTTCCAGACGTAAACATCGGGACAAGGTCACCTTCAAGCCTGTAATGGCAGCTATAATTTTATATCATTGCCACATTTCATCAGATGTTATAAACGATAAATGGATGAGTCGGTAATCTATTTATGAACGCATCTAACCCATTGTTTTAAAATATTACGAATTGTTTAACTATACAATGATACGTTCAGAGGATCCTCAAATTATTCTGATCAAAGTATGTATGTGATAATGGGGAATTATCATTGTTATTTGACAAGTGTGACTTACCATATTCTGATATCATATATATATATATATATATATATATATATATATATATATATATATATATATATATATATATATATATATATATATATATATATATATATATATATATATATATACCAGCAATTAATAATATGATAATATGCAATTGTTATTGTTAATTTACCGCTACAAATTATCATATAAAAACCTTGCCATAAAAACATAGGTTTGACCCACATCCTTAGAAAATCCCTTATCGATCGTCTATATCAAACATGTTTGTTAAATATAATATATCAGGGGTAATCAGTAACAATATATAGGCAGCTGAAAAATGCAGGATTACGAATTCTTGACAGAACTATTAAATTAAAATTGCTTTTAACTGATATTTTTTTCTCATGTGGTCTTTATACCTGGAACATGTAGGACGCTAATTGCATTTTTGACCAGCTGTTAATGTGGATTGCGAATTTTGAATGTTTGGCTGTGAATGAGAATTTGCACAGGCAGTAGTAACATCTTAGCCACCATAGCGGTAATACCTTAGTCGCCATTGCAGGAACATTGTAGTCACAACTACAGGGGTTTGTTACAAATAAAATTAGTAGTCTATAACATGTAATAATATAACACAAGGGAAGACAAGAGTCCGCATCCCTTGTGACCGAAAGATAAGATCCGAACATCCTAGAGTCCGCAGTAACACCATGCAATTGAACACATATTTCACTTCCGAATCATCACCAAGGCCTTATTACTCACTGTGCACTGTCGCCGAAATATACACAGACAACACACAACTCATATTCTAAAGAATGAACAATTGCCTTTAAATCCTTACCAAGAATGCCTGAATCTAACTCATATATCACCACCAAACGGAGACAGGAAAAATAATCTTAAAATAAAGGATGGGACTACATTCGTGGGTACTGAACAGAAAATATTAATTGCGACCTGACGCCCCTTGGGAAAAGCAGTTAGCTCCCATTTCCTCGGCATAATGTAGCCAGTTATGTGTTAATGCTGACTTTAAAACAAACAAAAACACTGATTTTCTGCTGGGTAGATGCAAGTTGGTGATGGGTAAGTGGTTGTGATTTTCATTCAAGCCCAGATATATTGTATTTTATGTGAAGAAAACTATAATTTTCATCTTTTAAAATATATACACGACAAACCTTGAATCAAGGCGTGCAAGGCAGTTGCCTTTGGTTCCTCGCGCCACAAAAGTTAGGCATGCTATAATAACTCCACCGGCCGGACCTGTAGATATAATGGATACTTTATTTTGAAAAACTTAGAGCAATATTTTTTCAAACTATCCGAGGACCTGATTCTTGTTTTGCTATTTTAAAAAATCGCCCTTTCTGTGCAGTTTATTAATTTCAGGACTCCAGAACATTAAACACAAACTGCAATGAGGAAAGAAACCTACCGAAGTTTCTGGAGGTAAAAGATCTTCACAAAGCAAGATAAAAAGCACGTGCTTTTTCTTTTTTTCCTTAATATTTTTAAAAAGGCATATGGTATGGTTATGATACTGCTGCTTGGACAAGGTGATAGTAAGAACTAGTGAAGCGTATTGTTCCGCAGACTAATGTAGTGGTCCAATCAAATTCGTTGCCTCAATCACATGTTTCCACATTTTCAGAACAAATCAAGATTTAGTTAAATTGAAAATAATTTACATTACAGAGACTTTCAAGCCCGAGAAGACCGGACCAAATATTGTCAGTGATTTGCCCTTTTATATCTATCAATTTACTCCGGTTTAATATTGTTTAAAAAATGTAATATTATAGATAATGAAGTCTTTGCATATATAATAAGTT